TTATCGCGTCATCCACGCGACACTGCGGAGTGGCAAGACCGTTCCTTCCTACTCCCTCGGGGAGAACGACCTCGTGTACTGGCATGGCAGATTTGGTCAGCTAGAACCACATATCTGTGTTCCCTCCACCGGGCAGCTCCGCGTCCAGGCTGTAGCAGAGTTCCATGACCAGGCAGCTGCCGGTCATATGGGTTTCCACAAGACGTTGGCTCGTGTTTGCCGCCTATACGTCTGGCCGAAGTCCAAGGACTTTGTCAAAGCCTACATCCATGAGTGTCCTAGCTGCCAGGAGGTGAACAGTGCGAACCACCTTCCGTATGGGTTACTTCAACCCCTACCCATACCTGAAGGTCGTTGGCAGTCCATCTCGATGGATTTCATTGGTCCCTCCGCCCACCCACTGAGCGCGGTCATGATGCTATCTTGGTCATCGTCGATCGCTTCACGAAGCGTGCACGTTTTGTCCCGTGCCGCTATCGCATTAGCGCTCGTGAGGTCGTCGACATCGTCTTCGACCGAGTCGTGAGAGATCACGGCTTATCTTAGAGCATCATCTTCGACCGTGACCCGCGCTTTACCAGCATATTCTGGCGACGCCTACACGAGGTGTACGGATCCCAACTCCGCTTCTCATTTTCTTACCACCCTCAGACGGATGGTCTGACTGAGGTCACCAATAAAACTCTCGGTAATATCCTCCGAAAGTTTGTTAGGGATGACCAGCAGTGGAACTTACAGTTAGCCCACGCGGAGATTGCGTACAACCACGCTGTTTCGCCAGCCACGGGGATGTCGCTATTCTATTGCGACCTCGACTACCACCCTAGCGTACCCGCGGATTTCCTACGACCATTGCGGTTGCGCCCAAACACTCGTTGCCCTGTGCTTGACGACTAGATCGCCTACGTGGCGGCGATTATGAAGCGCGCACAAGAGAGTTTAGCCGACTCCCAGACTCATATGGCCGCACGAGCGAACTGAGTACCTTGTGCGTTGGAAGGGCTACCCGGATGAGGAGGCTACTTGGGAGCCCCTCGAACACTTGCAGCACGCCAGGATGTTAGTGCGTACATACGATCGTGCTCGTCGTGCTGAGATGTCTGCCCCTGCTCAGCCGACTGACCCTCTTCCTCCTCCTCCGACTGAGGAGATTGCTGAGGACGAGCCCGCTCCCTCTGAGGCCGTTCCTCAGCCGCAGACGGTCGCCTCCGAGCGTCCACAGCGCACTCATCGTCGCCCTTTGCGTTACGATGACTGACAGTCTTATCCTCTATCTTTCCTCTACTGACTCACACCATCAGATACTCCATCATCAGCTTCTTCAGGATGTCAGCGTTTTGCGGCTCTGCTTCAACATCGACTCCACTGCTACTTCATCGATGTCATCGACCACTTTGACGACTTCAGCTACTTTGGACGTGACTACTTCACGCCACCACCCTACCCTGTACATTCCCTTGCATCTATCGCATGATGGTTCTCACTTAGCTGGGTCTCTTTGAGTTGGGCTCTCCCTTGGTATCRCATAGGCATTGGGACCGTAGCGTTATCTTGGCTTCCCTGCTCCCAGATCTAGCTCCTTCCTCCCCCAGTCGGTGAGTTGTGTGCATGTTTCCCTCACCCACTGCCCTCATCACCCTAGTGCCGGCCCTTGCATGCCTTCAGTTAGGCATATCNCCTCACCCACTGCCCTCATCACCCTAGTGCCGGCCCTTGCATGCCTTCAGTTAGGCATATCTCCACCCTATTCCAGGCTCCCCCTTTTTTCATGGTCGACCCTGCATGGTGTCATCCTTTTGTCGAGCATTACCCGCCCTGATGGTCTATCTGTTAGGGTCTTTGGTTTTGTTTCGCTACCACTCTCCCACCTTGAGCCTGATGACCTATCCCACCTTCACGTGTGACTGCTCTTAGGAGTTTCGATTCTTAGGCTGCATTCACCCCCTCTAAGACCATCCCACCCTTAGTGGTTCAGCGACAGGACATTATCTTGTTCCATATTGCTCTTTTTCCTTTCAGCACTGAGGCAATTGCCTCCAGGACTTTAGGATTGTATATTGCTACATTTCACTTTTTGCTATTAGCTAGGATATGGATACCGGACATTTGCTTTTCTTTTGATATTATGTAGCTTAGGATGCATCGCATGGAGCTTGCTCCGCATCCTAGATTTCTCAGCTTTCTTTATTGCAGAGTTCTGCTGCTTTTGCGGATAGCGTGTTTATGGCTCTTGCGATCCATTACTGGTCTGAGGATCGTGCAGCGGACCTTCATCTGCCCTGGCCTACAGCCAGGGCCTATTTGGCTATTTGCAAGTTCGGCCTGTGGGACCAAGCCATGGCCTGACCCCACAGGCTGTGTGATGTTCCAGTCCTGCCCGGTACCACTGTCGGTACCAGGCCAGTCCAGTCAGTCAGTCCGCTAGGGGTATACCCCAGCTGTAGTCTATTTTTGATTCATTCTTCATTTGCACAGATTGGAGTACGTGCGTGTTGAGTCTGCGTTGGAGCTGCGCTGTCCCTTCCAGCTCCATCTCCATCTCCATCTCCCCCATCCTCATCCCTTCGTCTTGATCCTGACGGACCGCCATCCCGGCGGGTCCGTCACACGGCAGCTGCAAATTGCAGTTATGCTCAACTATCAGTCTGAGCAAATTATGATATACCCGGGGCAAATTTATGGGCATACCCGCCCCCTGAGTACCCAAGTGCTTGATGGCAGAAATCACTCTCGTACTCAGCAACTGTTTCATCTCTCTCTCTCTCTCTCTCTCTCTCTCTCTCTCTCTCTCTCTCTCTCTCTCTCTCTCTCTCTCTCTCTCTCTCTCTCCCCTTCCCCCCCCCCCCCCTTCCTCCCCTTTTAAACCACAAGTACATCCAAGGCTAAATGTATGAGCTTAAATTTGAATTTTGCGTACCAGCACTTGGTAAGTTCAGGGTGGTACCGGTACGGGGCTCTGTGAAACTGGACCTGCTGGACCTGCTGCCAGCAGAGGGAACAAAAAGGAGGCCGTCGTTTTCTTGTTTTCACTCATGTGCCACCCAGGCCTGCCCGTAATTGCAGTCAGATACATTCAGGAAAGTGCTAGCCTGAGTGGGCTGACTCTGAATGGATTCCTCCCCTCCTCTCACGGCAAGGAGGCGGGGAGTGACTTCATACACTTCTTTCTTTGTTATCAGAAAAAGAAGTGGACCCTGAGGCAAAAGTTCTTTAGTTTATTTTTCTGCATAATATAGTTTTTTTTTCAGATAATCGGATTTTTTTGTTTTTTTTTTATCGCAAGGAGCTTCCCTGGCCCTTGCCCGCCCTGGGTGCCCGGGCAACCAAGGTGACCCAAGCGGCCCGCTTCATAGCCCAGGTGATCAGTGAATGTGTTCTTTGTTATTTTGTTTTGTTTTGTTTTATTTTGTTTTTTTCCTACCTGGGTTGCTGTATATATATGACCACTCTCCGCAAGCACACAGAGAGAGAGAGAGAGAGGGGCTCGTTCGACACTCCTTGGGCGCATGAAATCCCCGAGGAAATCATCATTCCACTTATCCTCGGGGAAGAAAACGAAAAAAAAATGTGAAAACATTTCCTCGGGGATTCCTCGGGGATTCCTCGGGCTAAAGCCATTTCAACGTGTTCCCCAAGGGACCTCCCGAGGTCCCTTGGAGGTCGAGCATCCGGAAGAATCGGGGCGTCGACGGCAGCTCTCTCGACGACAATTTCCGACGCGGCTGGTCCATTGCTGTTCCTGGCGGCCCGTGGACGGACATCTCCGGTTAGCAACGGTCGGCGTCATGGAATACTCTGCCAACGGTCCCCTTTGGCGGGCTGCCGTCCTCCGCGATGTCGAAAAGGGGCTGCCTTGCGTCGCTGCCCTTCGGCAGTAGCGGGAAAACGCCCAACGGTCTGCTGCTTCGGACGCGTACATGTACGTTCGGCGTGCCCACCGACATGCAGCCGCCACCCCGTACTGAAACGCTTCCGCCGAGGAAAGTTGCTGCCGTCAGCCGCAAGGGACGCCGACAGTATTGGACGGTCGCTTGCGGAAATTCGAATTTTAAATTTCGAACCCGGGACTGCACGCCTTTTTCGTGCCATTTTTTTTTTCCGCCGCCAACTTCCAATTTCGCGACGGCCGCCCGAGCTGGACCAACGACGTCGGCACGGACACACCTTGATGGACCAACCGCCCCTCCCCCCCGCGTCCGCTCGTCGATATATGAAACTGGCCACGGAAGGCCCCGAGGAATCGTCCTCGGGGAACAATTCCGAGGATGAGTGGAACGACGGCGCAAATTTCCTCGGGCCCCGAGGACGGCCCGAGGAGTGTCGAACGAGCCCCAGAGTGAAAGAGAGAGAGAGAGAGAGAGAGAGAGAGAGAGAGAGAGAGAGAGAGAGAGAGAGAGAGAGAGAGAGAAGGAAAGTCCCCGAGTGAGGCTCGGTAGTACAGGGTTGGGATTTTTTTTTTTTTTTTTTTTTTTTTTTTAAGCCAGTCTCCTCCAAATAGAAGGGTTGATATGCGCATCCCCTGCTACTCGGACGGTACTGGTTGCTCCTCTCTATTGGTGGGGAGCTGCACCTGCAGGGTCAGGATTCAAGTGTTGGTTAAATTGTTAAACCACCAGCACTTCCTAAAGTCGTGCCCGTAAACAAGTCGCGATTTTAGGAAACGTACGGGCCACTACGGGAGCGCCCAAATCCATCCGACTAGAAATGGTTCTACTCTATATAGCTGTGGGCCAAGAAGTACTGGTGGTTTAAAACCTTGAAATCGCTTCAGGCTCAGTGGTGGTTTAACAACAAATTGTATCTGATATCATGATATGTTAATGATCCCCCACTTACCCCCATTAAAGAAGGGCTCAAACATGTATGGCGCTGATCGCTGCGGGATCTGGAAGCTTGCCCGAGCTTGCTCCAAGTTTCCTTTGCGCAGCTCAAGAACCTGACAGTTGCGCAACTACCCCCACCCAACCATGCACATTGCACATTGCACATACAGAGACGAGACGTGAGGGAAGAAAAGAAATTCCCGGCCAGTTGGTGTCATGCTGTCACTGCCTAACAAAACAGAAGGACCGGAAAAAAAAGAAAAAAAAAAGGCACCGATTTACTAACCGTCCTACTCCTGAAAAGGAGCCTTTTTTTTCAATCCCGTCCTCTCCGTTAATAGCAAAAGGACACTTTTAATATAAAACTTAATAAAATATTAAAAAATGATTAAAAAAAATAAAAAGGACAATTTTTCTTCTTCCTTCTTGTTCTTGTTTTTCTTGGGGTAACTAGGGCGCAGTCACTATTTCAGTTTTAATTTTAATTTTTAAATCCACTTCATGCATCCCTCAAATACGACCACATCTCCACCCGACCCTAAGGCAGGGTTGTATACATTCACAATTTTCCTCGGTTTGGCGAACCTGACATTCGCGAAATTGTGACTGAAACGCATTTTCAAACTGAAACAGTGACAGCGCCCTAGTTTTCCCATTTTCCTTTGTTGTTATTGTTATTTCTGTACATGTGACGCCATGTGTGTGCCCGTGTGTGTGAGAGTATTCACTAAACGCAACTCTACAGAAAGCGCAAGCCCTTGTTGTTGTTTAAAAAAAGAAAAAAAAAAGAAAAAAAAGAAAGCGCAAGCCCTTCAAACAAAAGACGACATTCAATTCCATGTGGAGCATAGCTTTTTTTTTTTTTTTTTTTTTTTAAG